ACAGCACCCGCGCCGCCACACCGTCATTGACATCTCCTCTGCCCTCTATTCCTCTGTGCTCCTTTTAATTTTCTTATCTCCATTTCTTTATCGCCAGCTGTTTGCTTGCATAGGGTGCCCTTCCTTTCTTCTTTCCATTTTTTTCTCTAGTTTTCATTGCTTTGCATTTCTCTTCTCTTTCCTACTCTTTCCTTTATAGTATTCTTTTCATTTATTGTGTCTCCTCTTCTCTGTCCTTTTGATTTATTGCTCTACCCTAATCTTTAAGCCATCTTCACTTCCTTTCCAATTTTCCCTCTTCTTTACATCTGCCGGCAATTCGCCAGTTGCCTCCTGCGACGCGTCGGAGACCATCAAAGTTGGAGCTATCAGCGCTAATTATGGTATATCGGCGCTAATTTTTTCCTGTCAGCGCCGGGGCGCGGTGCTCCAACCGGGAGAAAGGCTGTAAGGAATCAACTCTGCTCTACACATAAGGTCGGTGCCTGCTGCTCAGGTCCTGTTTCTTTCTTCTCCCTTTCTGTCTTGCGTTTTTCTTCTACAGTCGCCTTCCTTGTTATATCCTTTTCTCCTTCATTTTCTTCTGCTATTGTTTCCCTTCTTTTGTTCTCTCCGTCCCTTCTATTTCCTGGTTCTCTTTACCTATGTCAAGAAGTACGAGAATTGACAGTATAAAATTCCTCCACTCTCTCATTTTTCTTCTTTATCCCTTATGTGCTTCTATTTCCTTTACTAATATTCTTTCCAAATGTTTATATTATACTCGCAATGAAAACGTCCTCTGGATAAACTTCTCCTTGCTCTTCCTTGCATCGATTCCTTCCATAGCTTCTTTTATTCCAGTCCTGCTTTGTCGTTATTCCTTTTTCTTCTCCCTTTTTATCTTCTTTTTTTTTTTCCTTTTTCACTCTCTCCTCGTTGTGAAAACTTTCCCTCCCCTGGTCTGTTGCTGCCTTCCTTGTATCTTCTGTTGGTTATTTTCCCCTTGGGCAGTGCAAGAGTCCAGCCACAGCTACATCCAAGGTGAATGACGGGTCACAAGTTTCCATGCTTTTGTAAGTTTTGGTCCATTTAAATATTGGGGTTAATTGTCCAATTACAGCTCCAGGTTATGAAGTCCCATCCTCCCAGTTTGCTCTCCTCAATTCCATGTTGTTTGTACTTTTTGGGCCTGAAGCTGCAATGGTGTCCTTGGTTCTCTAGACTGGAAAAGGATTGTTTTGTGTGACTGAGCTGTGAGGAGAACTTGCTAACACTTCATATGCATTTCAGAGTTATACACTAATGCAGTACAGAATCTGGAAAACATGAAAGCTAAAACTTAAGGCATCACAGGAACCAAAGGACACCTGTCTCTCACACACAGCCTCTTCTGGTGGGAGTAACTCACCTGTAGCATCACTGGTTGCTTCTTCAGAAAAAGAAACTCCAGGACCAGGAGTACTTTTTTTAAGGGACAGTGTCCCTTAATTCCACCTAGAAGACCAAGACCTGGGACATGACTGATGCCATGTGCCAAGAAAGGCTGGCAGAATGACACAAGTTTCAAAACTTCTTCTGTTTTATGACGAAAATTCCACATCGAAGACAAGTGATTAAAGGCATGGATGGCAAATCACTTCATAAGCTGTAATATCACAGGGAACAACAGAAAGCAAGAGTACAGAGAACTGCTGGAGGTCCTGAGAGGATCTCAGAAGAGCAGCATTAAGTGGTGGGCATTGTCACAAGGCATGGGAAATGAGATCTCCACAGCTAACCAGGCACTCTCCAGTTCCACCACTGTGATGCAGGCCGTGTTCTACTCAGCATCTGCATTTCCCTGGGGCAACACTCCTTCCCACTCAAAATCACACTCCCCATCACACCGGCCCAGGCCTTATTTAGTTTCATACGCAGGATCACTGCTAAAATATCACACATTGCTGAACCTCAGCAACATGCCCTGTCTGAAAACCCCACTCCAGGCCCCTGTACTTCCTCATCTCCATTCATAATCATCACAAACTTTGTATGTCTAAAACAAATGTCTAAAAGCTCTTCCCAGCTACATGAGCTTCACCATGCATGCTTTGCTCTTTTTCAGTATTCTCGGTTGGGAATGTCACAGAGCTGCATGTTAGAGTTCACAGAAGTTCTGTGATTAGAACTGTGACAGCTCTGATCCCAGTCCACACAGATTTATTTCTTCAAGAGAACACAGCAAGTGCCAAAGCACAAGAGCACTCACAGAGTGTCAACCATGAGGGACAACTTGCACACCATGAACTGGGCAAATCAGGCAGGTTTTGGGATGTTCTGGCAGATATCAGAACAATCCACATGTGACATCAGGACACACCATCTCTACTGAGGCCACTTCTGCAGTGCACAAGTAAAGGAAGTTGAGCACATATAGATGTGTAATAAAATAAATCCTTGTAAATCCCACCTGAGGAGGAGCAAGGAAAGATCATGGTAAAATCTACAGCTGTAGAGAGTACTGTAAAAGCCCACTACTACACAAGGAGAGCAACTTGCAGCATTCCCCAGCCACGTCTTGAAACACTGAACCAGAAAAAGTTGTTTCTTCAGACAACATTCAGCACTCTCCATCTCACCAGCTCTTACTATCGCTGGCCGCGGTCTCTGTACAAATCACAAACAGGACGGGGCTGCTGGGGAACGCGTCTCGAGCTGTTGTATTTTCCAGCATCAGTCTCATTCCTTGGCTATGACAATGGCAAGATGCCAGCAGCTCACGTCCCAGGCAGCAAAGAACTTAATGTTGCAACTCACTTTACAAGTTTTCTGTCCAATCACACATAGCAACAGCATATTGACAGTAGTTCTTTCCAACCACCATAAGCACATAAATGTCTGGTTAAAACAATGCTTGCTTATCTTAAATGCAATACCTGCTGTTAAGCATTAAACACAATGCACAGAGCTCAATTGCTAAGCTTAGAACTAGAATTTGCTAATCTCTTGCTAGCTATACTTTCTGTAGCTAAGGGATTTATTCTAGACAAGCATTAATATACAGACCATTGTTCTATTTGTCCTTACTTTTCTACTCCTTATACCATTTTTCTGCTGACAAATCTTATCACCACTGTTTAGCTCTAATCACAGTTCTGTTGTCTCTGAGGCCTGCCTTTTGCAGCTTTCCCAAAAAACTCTGATTTTAAGCATCCCCACCGCCGTGGTCGCGCACGACGATCAGCAGCCTCTGGCGAGGCCCGTCCGCCTCGTCCAGCGCCCGCGCCGTGCTCACCTCGCCGCTGTAGAGCCCCACGCGGAACGGGCCCTTGCCCCGCGGCTCCCACAGCTCGTAGCGCAGCCACGCGTTGTAGCCCGAGTCGGCGTCCACGGCGCGGATCTTGGCCACCACCTGCCCCGCCGGCGCCCCCCACGCCGCCCACGCCCACAGCGTGCCCGACGCCGAGCCCGCCCCCACGCCCGCCGCCGCCTCGGCCGCCACGGCGCCCGCCTCCGGGGTCGAGCCCGCGGCCGGCAGCAGCGCCGGCGCGTTGTCCGCGGCTCCCACAGCTCGTAGCGCAGCCACGCGTTGTAGCCCGAGTCGGCGTCCACGGCGCGGATCTTGGCCACCACCTGCCCCGCCGGCGCCCCCCACGCCGCCCACGCCCACAGCGTGCCCGACGCCGAGCCCGCCCCCACGCCCGCCGCCGCCTCGGCCGCCACGGCGCCCGCCTCCGGGGTCGAGCCCGCGGCCGGCAGCAGCGCCGGCGCGTTGTCGTTCTCGTCCAGCACGAAGAGCTGCACCGTGGCGTTGCCGCTCAGCGGCGGCTCCCCCGCGTCCACCGCGCGCACCTCGAACTGCAGCACCTGCAGCTCCTCGTAGTCCAAGGGCTGCAGCGCCCACAGGCGCCCGCTCTCCGCGTCCACCGACACGTAGCTCGACGCCGGACGCCACCCGCCGCCCGACCACGACGACGACGATCCCGCGGCCCCGCCGCCGCCGCCGCCGCCCACGCCGCCCTCCCACAGCGAGTAGCTGACGCGCCCGTTGCCCGCCTCGTCCGGGTCCCGCGCCCACAGCCGCGCCAGCTCCGCGCCCGCCGCGTTGTTCTCCCGCGCCAGCACCGTGTACACGGCCTGCGCGAAGGCGGGCGCGTTGTCGTTCACGTCCGACACCGGCACCCGCAGCCCGCGGCTGGCGCGCAGCGCCGGCGCCCCGCCGTCCTCCGCACGCACCTCCACCTCGTACTCCGACACCCGCTCCCGGTCCAGCGCCTCGCGCAGCACCAGCGAGTACGAGCCCGCGAACGTCGCCTCCAGACCGAACGGCGACGCCGGCCACACCCAGCACCGCACGCGCCCGTTCTCCCCCGAGTCCCGGTCCGACACGCTCAGCAGGGCCACCACCGTCCCCACCGACGCGTCCTCCGCCACCGGCACCGACAGCGACGTCACCCACACCTCCGGCGCGTTGTCGTTCACGTCCAGCACCTCCAGCACCACCTTGCAGTGACCCGACAGCG